ACCTAACTTTAATCTAACCTAACTTACCTTAGTCTAATCTAATTCTCCTTAACCTAGTCTACCCTAATCTGACATCTTAGGTTTAGTTAAGGTATCTCTAAGTACGGTAAGTATTTAGTTTTTTTTAGATTTAAGTTGGGGTTTGCTAAGGTTAGGTTAGAATACACAGACAGACAGACAGACAGACAGACAAGTGACTTACCTGTCTAAACTGGGGAGGCCCTTGTCGACAGCTTTTATAGTAGTGATGAGAGACCTATCAGTGTTCTCCAGCACAGCGCCGTCAAAGGCTTGAAGCAGAGGGGCATTGTCGTTCACGTCTAATATGTCCACAATGACTTCTTCCTCCATCCTCGCGTTTCTGTCGTTCTGAGGGAGGTGATAGAATGTGTCTCAGTTGTTGTGAGTGGAGGGAAGAGGTGGTAGAATGCATCTCAGTCGTTGTGGGTAGAGAGAGAGCGAGAGAGATAGATTCATGCATTGATGGTCGCCAGGCAAAGGTATATAAACGTCATGCAAAATTATTCAAAATGACCTTAATCTGTCTTGCAAAACAAGTTGACGCGACGTTATACTATCATGCAAGGCAAGTTAACACGACCCTGCCCTGTCATGCACTGTACTGATCATACACGCGAAGTCTGCATTCTTAAGTTTAATAACACGTACTTACCTATATGTAAACAGTTTATTATAGTTCTCGATCCTCTTATGTTTTCGTTAATGTTTGCGAGGTCTTTGATATTTCGAGCGTTTTCGTGTCTTTCTTATGTGTTTGTGCCTTTTCTTGCTTCCTTTATCATTATTATATTTATCTGCATGACTTAAATTAAAAGCATAAAGCCCAACCCAGATATCACGTCATGTAAAGCACGCACGCACACACACACATACACACACACACACACACACACACACACACACACACACACACACACACACACACACACACACACAAAAACACACACACACACACACACCACACACACACAAATACACAACAGGGGCAATAGATCAACACTATACACCGTCATGCAAGGTTGTATGGGGAGGCATGTGTGTTAGTCAGGCAGGGAAGGTGAGGGAGCAATATATGTATACGACCTGTCTACGCGAGGCTACATTCAGTACATGGCGATGGTGACGATGATGGTGACGATTACACTGAAGATTATAGCGAGGTTTACAGTAGCGATGATAGTGACGATGATAGTGAAGTTTACAGTAACGATGATTGTGACGGTGATAGCAAGGTTTACAGTAACGATGATAGTGACGATGATAGAGAGGTTCACAACGACGATGACAATGACGATGATAACAACATGAAGAACCATATCACAAGACTTTCCAACACGTTATACAGCAGAAAGATTAACTAGAGAGAGAGAGAGAGAGAGAGAGAGAGAGAGAGAGAGAGAGAGAGAGAGAGAGAGAGAGAGAGATACAATAATACAAAAACTATAATAAAACACTCACTAATAAACAAACATATAGAGAATGAGAAAAATTACCCCCAAAATATGCATAAATGATGACAGGGAAATATGATAAAGACACATACAAAACTACGTGGATAATGAGAGTTAAAGAACAAAGAAAGAATAATCCCAACAAATTATGATACAGGGGGGAATTATAGAAGACAGATTAACAATTTACAGAAAAATGCCATAAAGCGACACCAAAAAATAATGAATAATGGGAATGTAGAGAGAGAGAGAGAGAGAGAGAGAGAGAGAGAGAGAGAGAGAGAGAGAGAGAGAGAACAAATTCTAAGGTCTGGGAACTGCGAATTGTATTATGTAAACAAAGAGGGCTATACCCCTGGTCTGGTAACACTGAACTGTGTCAACCTACTGCCATTAAAACACACCACTCTCTTTTTCTCTATTTCTCTCTTTTCTTTTCAATCTCGTTCTTTCTTTTTCTTTCTCCGACTCTCTTTCTCTGTCTGTGTGTGTTTTCTAATCTTTCTCTTTGTCTCTCTTTTTCTCTTCCTCAACCACTATCTCTCTTTTTAACACAATCTACCACTATCTGTTCACCACAAGCCACATACAACCACCACCCACTACTCACCACAATCCACATGCTACCACCACCCACTATTCACAGCCATCTATATGCTACCACCACCCACTACTCACCACAATCCACATGTTACCACCACCACTACTAACTACAATCAACAGGCTACCACCACCCTTACTAACCACAATCCACATGCTACCATCCCCTGCTAGCCGTAATTGACATGCTACCACAATTTTTTACTAACCACAATCTGGAGGTTGAGCTTGTAGGCCTGGACAGTCTCGTAGTCGAGGTTCCTGGTGGCGACGAAGATGGCGACGCCCACACTGTCACCACACACACCCCGCTCCTCAGGTAGCCGCTCGGAGACACAACCAAGGTAAGATTGTTATGTGAAGGTGAAGTTGGGTCCTGACCTGACCAATTGTCTGGGGCAGTGTGGATGTATTCAGCAGATCGTGTGTGTGTGTGCGGTGTGTGTGTGTGTGTGTGTCACTATAACAACATAACAATACATAACACAAGCGTACAACCCAGCAGGTAAAACACACTTGCTTCACAACACAATAACAAACAATAGCCACACCAGAACAAAACACAAACACACAACAAAACATTTTTTTTAAATAACCGCAATACACAAGAGGGAGTGAATGACTGTAGATAAATACAAAGACGAGGAAAAAGTCATACACAAAACAATAACGATAAACGACAAAGGTGATTTTAATGGTGTTTGACAACGAGTGGTAATGAGGCATTTCAGTGTCGTGGACAGACGGCCTTAATGGTCGACATCAAAGGCTACAAATAATATATCTTAATGAGATGGCAAACAAGACCTTTCTGTGTGTGTGTGTGTGTGTGTGTGCATCTACTAAGTGTAGACAGCAAAATAAGTAAATTTGCTGATAACACTAAAATAGGGAGTATAATTAAATTCGACGTGGACTCTGTAAGACTACAGGAAGATCTTAAAAAAAATTTTGAATGGTCTAAAAAATGGCAGATGAAATTCAATGTGGACAAATGTAAAGTACTTAATCTAGGAGATGTAAACAGAGAAACCAGTTACCAGATAAACAACGATGTTATAAAGAAATCAGACTGTGAGAAAGATTTAGGAGTAATGATAAGTAGGGATATTAAACCTAGTAAACAATGTATTTTGCCTTGCTAATAAAGTACTTGGGTTCATACAAAGGAGTGTTAGTTACAAGACTAGCTAGGTAATGCTTGCGCCTGTGAGACCTCACTTGGATTACGCAGTTCAGTTCTGGTCACCGTACTACAGAATGGATATAGAATACCTAGAAAGAACTGAGAGGACAATGACAAGACTAATCCCGGGCATTAGGAACCTTGAGTACAGAGACAGGTCAAAGCATTTTAATCTGCACCCTCGAGACGTAGAGTGAGGGGCGATATGATTGAGATGTATAAATGGAAGGCAGGGCTGAACAAAGGTAATATACAAAAGTACTCAAACTATCCAACCATGAGCGAACTCGTAACAATGGTTTTAAATAAGAAAAAATTAGATTTAGGCGATAGATAGGTAAACATTAGTTTGGAAATAGAGTAGTGGATGAATGGAACAAGTTACCAAACATCATCATTAACTCGAATACGCTGTATAGCTTCAAACATAGGTTGGATGGATATATGAGCGATAGGGGTTGGGTGTAAATCGGACTGCCCAGAATGGACCAATAGCCATGCAGTTTCCTTCATTCTTATGTTCTCATGTTCTTAAGTTGTGTGTGTGTGTGTGTGTGTTAAACTTACTCTGAGAATATTGGTGAAAAGATTATTTTTTTTTGTTACTCCTTCTTGAAATTATTATCAACAAATCGTTTAAGATTTGCTTAAAATTTTATGCTAAGTATATGGGAATTATCATGGACAATAATAATCTCTCTCTCTCTCTCTCTGCTGAAATACCAATATTCTCTATAATCCATAACAAGTTACCATTTACTTCAGTTTCTCATATTCATTAATAAGATAAAAACGTTTTCTTTAACATACAGTCATTGCTGAACAAACACGGGGAGGGACACAAACTTTCACCAAGTAGTTAATATGGAAAGTAATAGTCCAAGTCCATTTTTGCCGAGAAATCCCGTGAAATTGGATTCTCCTGAGAAGTTGATAGAATCCATAGTGTATAAAGTTTACAGGTTGCGAGTAAATATGGGAGACGGGAACGTGAACCTACAATGAGAGAGAGAGAGAGAGAGAGAGAGAGAGAGAGAGAGAGAGAGAGAGAGAGAGAGAGAGAGTATGCCAATGTTAATATTTCCTTAATATATCTGTTGTTTATTGTGGTTGTTTTCAAGTAAACAAATGCGAAATTTTATGTTTGGATTTTACCTTAACCTAACCCAATCAAAACTAACCTAACCTAACCTAACCCCTAATACCAACCTAACTCCAACTAACCCAATCCAAACTAACCCAAAGCAAAATCTCGCTTCTGGTTATTTTCCAAACAACCACAAAGCATTGTGGTCGCCTTTCGGTTTTTGAGCCCAACATATCCATACATGAAATAATAATTATTATTATTATTATATTATTATTATTATTATTATTATTATTATTATTATTATTATTATTATTATTATTATTATTATTATTATTATTATTATTATTATTATATTTTTTAATATTATTATTATTATTATTATTATTATTATTATTACTATTATTACTATTATTATTATTATTATTATTAGTAGTAGTAGTAGTAGTAATAATAGGACTAATGTTATTGCCATTATTATCACTAATTTAATAGAATAATATTATTAGTTAAATAATATCATTGTCATTATCATTATTACCAAAGCTGAAGGAACCGAGAGACAAAAAATCCGATATACATTTAAATTTAATTAAAAGGATAAAGTCAAAGGTGTCACAACTACAGTAAACACAAACAGTAATGGCGGCCATGTTTACCTGATCGCAAAGGTGCCATCGGAGTTAGAGTCTCTGGTTTTGCCGTTGGGGAGAGTGAAGTACACGTTGGTAAGGTCAGGAAGGTTTGACCTGTGGAGGAAGACAATGGAGGTATTAGCGATGTTGTGGAGGTAAGGAACAGGCGGAGGAGGAGGAGGAATTATCGATGTTGTGGAGGTAAGGAGGAGGAGGAGGAGGAGGGGGAGGGGGAGGGAGGTGGAGAAGAAGTGAGAGGACACACTCCTCTTCACTCTCCGACATCAACTATTCAGCTTCCTGCTCTCCCGGCGCCAGAGTCCAGCTGGGGCCAAAAGCATTTGAATGGTAGGAAGTGGTGGAAGGAAATGGTGGCAGAAGGTGGCAGGAGGTGGTGGAAGGAGGTGGTGGCAAGAGATGGTAGGAGGTGGCAGGAGGTGGGAAGGAGATGGTGGCAGGAGGTGGTAGGAGGTGGTGGCAGAAGGTGGTGGTGGTGGTGGAAGGATATGGTGGCAGGAGGTGGTAGGAGGTGGCAGCAGGTGGTGGAAGGACGTGGTGGCAGAAGGTGGCAGAAGGAAGGAGATGGTGGCAGGAGGTGGTGGAAGGAGGTGGTGGCAGGAAGTGGTGGAAGGAAAGGGTGGCAGGAGGAGTGGCAGAAGGGTGGCAGGAAGTGGTGGAAGGAGGTGGGGTCAGAAGGTGGCAGGAGATGGCGGTAAGAGGTGGTGGAAGGAGGTGGTGGCAGGAGGTGGTAGGAGGTTGTAGGAGGTGATGGAAGGAGGTGGTGACGGGAGGTGGTAAGAGGTGGTGGCAGAAGGTGGCAGAAGGTGGTAGCAGAAGTAGGGCAGGAGGTGGTGAAAGGAGATGGTGGCAGAAGGAGGCAGGAGGTGGTGGAAGGAGGTGGTGGTAGGAGGTGGTGGCAGGAGGTGGTAGGAGGTGGTGGCAGGAGATGGTGGCAGGAGGTGGTAGGAGATGGCAGGAGGTGGTGGGAGGGGGGTGGGAAGGAGATGGTGGCAGAAGATGGCAGGAGGTGGTGGAAGGATATGGTGGCAGGAGGTGGTAGGAGGGGTGGGAAGGAGGTGGTGGCAGGAGGTGGTAGGAGGGGGTAGGGAGGTGGTGGAAGGAGGTAATGGCAGAAGGTGGCAGGAGGTGGTGGAAGGATATGGTAGCAGGAGGTGGTAGGAGGTGGCAGGAGGTGGTGGCTGGAGGAGGTAGGAGGTGGTGGGAAGGAGGTGGTGGAAGAAGGTGGTAGGAGGTGGTGGAAGGATGGTGGAGTGGCAGGAGGTGGTAGGAGGTGGCAGGAGGTGGGAAGAAGGTGGTAGGAGGGGGAGGTGGAAGGATATGGTGGCAGGAGGTGGTAGGAGGTGGTGGCAGGAGGAGGTAGGAGGTGGTGGAAGGTGGAAGAAGGTGGTAGGAGGTGGTGGAAGGATATGGTGGCAGGAGGTGGGGGAGGTGGCAGGAGGTGGTGGTAGGAGGAGGTAGGGAGGTGGTGAAGGAGGTGGTGGAAGAAGTTGGTAGGAGGTGGTGAAGGATATGGTGGGGAGGTAGGAGGTAGGAGGTGTGGGAAGAAGGTGGTAGGAGGAGGTGGAAGGATATGGTGGCAGGAGGTGGTAGGGAGGTGGTGGCAGGAGGAGGTAGGAGGTGGGAAGGAGGTGGTGGAAGAAGGTAGGAGGTGGTGGGAAGGATATGGTGGCAGGAGGTGGTAGGAGGTGGCAGGAGGTGGTGGCAGGAGGAGGTAGGGAGGTGGTGGAAGGAGGTGGTGGAAGAAGGTGGTAGGGAGGTGGTGGGAAGGATATGGTGGCAGGAGGTGGTAGGAGGGAAGGATATGGTGGCAGGAGGTGTAGGAGGTGGAAGGATATGGTGGGCAGGAGGTGGTAGGAGGTGTGGCAGGAGGAGGTAGGAGGTGGTGAAGGAGGTGGTGGAAGAAGGTGGTAGGAGGTGGTGGAAGGATATGGTGGCAGGAGGTGTAGGAGGTGGCAGGAGGTGGTGGGAAGGGTGGTAGGAGGAGGTGGAAGATATGGTGGCAGGAGGTAGGAGGTGGTGGCAGGAGGAGGTAGGGAGGTGGTGGAAGGAGGTGGTGGGAAGAAGGTGGTAGGAGGTGGGGAAGGATATGGTGGCAGGAGGTGGTAGGAGGTGGCAGGAGGTGGCAGAGGAGAGGAGGGGAGGAGGTGGTGGAAGGAGGTGGTGGGAAGGTAGGAGGTGGGAAGGAATGGTGGCAGGAGGTAGGAGGTGGCAGGAGGTGGTGGCAGGAGGAGGTAGGAGGTGGTGGAAGGAGGTGGTGGAAGAAGGTGGTGGAAGAAGGTAGGAGGTGGTGGCAGGAGGAGGTGGTGGAAGGAGATGGTGGCAGGAGGTGGTAGGAGGTGGTGGAGGATATGGTGGCAGGAGGTGACAGTAGGTGGCAGGAGGTGGTGGAAGATGGTGGTAGAAGGTAGCAGGAGGTAGTGAAAGGAGGTGGTGGAAGAAGGTGGTAGGATGTGGTGGAAGGAGGTGGTGGAAGAAGGTGGTAGAAGATGGTGTTAGGAAGTGGTGAAGGAGGTTGCAGGAAGTGGTGAAGGAGGTGGTAGGAGGTGGCAGGAGGTGGCAGTAGGTTGTGGCAGGAGGTTGAATCATAGAAATATATCAAATATTCCTCCACCTCTCTCCTTCACTTATCGAGTTATGTGACACCATTTCCACGCACTATTGGGTTTGATAGAGAGACCTCTGCCATGCCCTACCCTCCCTTCGTCCCTCAGTCATCCTCTCTCAGTTCCCTTCTCAGCTAACCCTGCCCTCCCTTAGTTACCCTTCCTCACCTTCCTCAGTTTACCCTTCCTCAGTTTATCCTCCCTCAGTTACCCTTCTTCAGTTACCCTTCCTCAGTTACCCTTCCTCAGTTACCCTTCCTCTGCTTACCTCCCTCAGTATACTCTCCCCCAGTTACCCTTCCTCAATTACCTTTCCTTAGTTACCCTTCCTTAGTTACCTCCCTCAGTATACCCTCAGTTACCCTTCCTCAATTACCTTTCCTTAGTTACCCTTCCTTAGTTACCTCCCTCATTACCCTTCCTTAGTTACCCTCCCTCAGTTACCCTTCCTCAGTTACCCTTCCTCAGTTACCCTTCCTTCGTCACCTCCTGAGTATGAGAATTTCTTGAGTATGATGACTTAACTTCTTGAGTATGATGACTTAACTTCTTGAGTATGCTGGCTTAACTTCTTGAGTATGATGACTTAACTTCTTGAGTATGATGACTTAACTTCTTGAGTATGATGGCTTAACTTCTTGAGTATGATGACTTAACTTGTTGAGTATGATGACTTAACTTGTTGAGTATGATGACTTAACTTCTTGAGTATGATGACTTAACTTCTTGAGTATGATGACTTAACTTCTTGAGTATGATGACTTAACTTCTTGAGTATGATGATTTAACTTCTTGAGTATGATGACTAAACTTCTTGAGTATGATGAGTTAACTTCTTGAGTATGATTGCTTAACTTCTTGAGTATGATGACTAAACTTCTTGAGTATGATGAGTTAACTTCTTGAGTATGATGGCTTAACTTCTTGAGTATGATGGCTTAACTTCTTGAGTATGATGACTTAACTTCTTGAGTATGATGACTTAACTTGTTGAGTATGACGACTTAACTTCTTGAGTATGATGGCTTAACTTCTTGAGTATGATAACTTAACCCTTTAAGTATGATGTTAACACACACACACACACACAGACATAGACAGACACACACACACACACACACACACAGACACACACACACACACACACACACACACACACACACACACACACACTCACCTAGCACACAGGATAGCGACCTCTGTGTTCTCGGTGGTGTTCTCCAGTATGGCTGGTCGTAGAGGCTCCTGCTTTACCACGGAGGGCGGCAGCTCACCTGAAGACACTAGCTTAATGGTAACAGGTGCAGTCGACCATAACGCAGGGTTACCGCTGTCCACCGCTCTCACGCGCATCTCTACCGTTTTCTCCCGTGTCTGGTGAGAGAGAGAGAGAGAGAGAGAGTTACGGTAAAGTCTCAGACCAATGTCACCTCCATTTTAACTCTTAAAAAATTAAATAACTTGTTGGAATTCAGGGTCCCAAGACTCAAAGTCCAATAGAATTAAGACTCATATATTTAGAACTCCAAAATTAGAATAATCATAATCAAATTTAACAGAAAGACTAGAACTATTAGATGTAGGGCCCTATAGAACTAAAACCTAATAGAACTAAGACCTATTAGGACTGGGACCCAATAGAACGAAGACCATAGAACTGGAGCCCGATAGAACTAAGGCCTATTAGAACTGGGGCCCGATAGAACTAAGACTTATTAGAACTGGAGCCAATAGAACTAAGACCTATTAGAACTGGGCCCGATGAAACTAAGACCTATTAGAAATGGGGCCCTATAGAACTAAGACTTATTGGAACTGGGGCCAGATAGAACTAAGACCTATTAGATGTGGGTCCCTATAAAACCAAGGCCTATTAGAACTGGGACCCGATATATCTAAGACCTATTAGAATAGGGGCTCGATAGAACTAAGACCTATTAGGAATAGGGCCCAATGGAACCAGAGTCCAACAGAACAAGGGGCACTAAGAACCTTCCAACTTACCACAGCTTCATCCAATGTTCTCTTGAGAGTGATAACCCCAGTGATTGGTTCGACAGCGAAGTATTGGAGGTGATCACGGTGACCCTCCAGATGATATGTGACCTGACCATTACTTCCGGAGTCGAGGTCAGAGGCCGTGACCCTGAGTATTGGTGTGGCTGGGCTGTGGTCAGTGGCTAGGCTTTGCTCGTACCGCTACACGTATAAAACATGTTAGTTAATTAGTTAAGCTGGTAAATGTTTATATATGTTTTGGAATTATGAATGTGGATGAAGTGTGTACTATGTTGATGAATATTAATAATTGTGAAGTTAATAAATGTTTATAATGATTGTGAAGTTTATAGATGTTTATAATGGTTATAAACAAATCAAATATTTATAATGGAGCTTTATATGGGATGTAGAAAACGCATATTTATTAATAAATGATTAAGGAACCCATTATCCAGCTGACGTCATTCTACTTCCACCCGGGGCACCCCAAATTTACCCTGTTGTGAATTGAGACAATTTTACAGTTGAGTATGGGAAGATAGTCAAGTACAGTGTCGGGTCAGACTGCCGCCTTGTATACCGCCCGCATCCCCGCTGACTCGATGGGTCGTCAGGCCTATAGGATCCATTAGTACTTACTGAGTAGTTTGATGTTAAGTTTAGAGTTCACCTGAAGATTAGCCCCCCAGCTTATATCATCTGATTATTAAACACCCAAACGTTACCTGGGGGTTAGGTTAGGTTAGGTTAGCATTAGAGTTTGTAATCATCAGGTGAAACAAGCTGGCCCTAATCTTGAGATGATGCAAGTTTTAGTACTGAAAATACGGTGTATTTTATTTTTGTATTCCATCTTCAGGTAAAATTAGAATGTTTACATTTCTAAAGGTGCATGAAGGCACACCAACCATGAACTCTATGTCTGCTGTGCTCTAGGTCTAGAGCTTTTGTACTTTATGTTTGTTGTGCACTAGAACTCATACACTCTTTTTGCAGAGTCAATATAGTCTACAGTATATCTGCTATATAAAATATCTCATGCGCTGTGTGTTTGTTGTGTAAAATAGCTCATGCACTCTGTGTTTGGTGTGTTAAATAGCTCATGCGCTCTGTGTTTAGTGTGTAGAATAGCTCATGCGCTCTGTGTTTGATTTGTGAATTAGCTCATGCACTCTGTGTTTGGTGTGTAAAATAGCTCATGCACTTTGTGTTTGGTGTGTAAAATAGCTCATGCGCTCTGTGTTTGGTGTGTAAAATAGCTCATGCACTTTGTGTTTGGTGTGTAAAATAGCTCATGCGCTCTGTGTTTTAAAATAGCTCTGTGTTTGGTGTGTAAAATAGCTCATGCACTTTGTGTTTGGTGTGTAAAATAGCTCATGCGCTCTGTGTTTGGTGTGTAAAATAGCTCATGCACTTTGTGTTTGGTGTGTAAAATAGCTCATGCACTCTGTGTTTGGTGTGTAAAATAGCTCATGCACTTTGTGTTTGGTGTGTAAAATAGCTAAAAGCGCTCTGTGTTTGGTGTGTAAAATAGCTCATGCTCTCGGTGTCTGCTGTACACTAGAGCCAATTCCCTGCTGTTAAAATATTCAATTCTTAATGTGTTGGTCTGGCGCCTGTTCACGGCACTACTGTTCAGCTCAACACTGATGTTACAATTTTGAAACTCTGGTTAAATATACTGTTGTAATATTAATGGTAATAATAGTAATAAAAATGAAATTGATAATAGTAAGAATATTAATAATAATAGCGATGATGATGATGATGATGATGATGATGATGATGATGATGATGATGATGATGATGATGATGATGATGATCCCTTGGCAAAAGTCCTATAAGACAGTGGTCATATTATGCAACACCAGCTTCCCGATTATGGCAGGGACTATCGGCTCCAAAGACCTACCTACCCACTTCCCACCCTACTCCCTGGCTCCTGCCCACCCTGCCCCCTACCCTGTCCCTTACCCTACCACCCTAAAAAAAATATATATATAGACCAGGCCAGATATTCAGGTCAGAAACGGTCAGTTGTTACGAAAGAAGCCTCATATATTGTCCCGACCGATTTTTTTTTATATGAGACCAGTTTGACTACCCCGAAGTACTAGATTTTTTTTTGTCGAATGGAAATTAAATCAAAGTATTCTTATGTATTTTTTCAGTAATGTTTCATTCTATATTTTTGTGGGTAATTTATTTCAATTAATGATTGTACAAGTTCAAAAATCACAGGAATAAAGCTGGGTAATAAATCTGTCAAAACCACCAATCACAGTTGTGCAAAGTATTTCTGCGTCTCCAACTTACCAATTGCAGGCGTTGATGCTGTTGACATTAACCAATGAGAGCTCTAGACTGTATCCCCGCTTCTCCAACCCAACAATCAGAGGTATGGACTCACCTGCTGGTCAAAGATAGGCGAGTTATCGTTGACGTCCTCCACCACCACCCTGAAGGTGCAGGTGTCCTGAAGTGGCTCCAGTGCCCCGTCCCTCGCGATCACCGTCAGGAAGAACTCTTTGTCGTCCCCATCACGGTCGAGGCGCTGTACGAGAAGGAGGAAGAGTTGAAGGAGGAGAAGAAGGTGAAGGAAGAGAGGATAGAGAAGGAGGAGGAGAAGAAGGTGAAGGAGGAGAGGGTAGGGGAGGAGGAGAAGGAAAAGAAGGAGAAGGGATATTAGAAAAGGAGGTTGAAGAAGGAGTGGAAGAGGCGAGAGTAGGGGGGGAGGAGGAGGAGAGATAGTATTGTTATAAAACAATAATTTCATATGACACAAACACACACTCACACTAATGGGGCTCACCGACTCATTGCCAATAAGGGTATAGTTTCATCTTTCCCCAGATTACCTCCCCACTTACAGTCTTTATCCCCAACCTTCCTCTTTCCTCTCCAACTTACTTCTTCTCCCACCCCAACTTTTTATAGCCTCCCAAACCTCTTCCTCAGCCTTATTACTTCCTCAACCTCTTCCTTCCGTCTTCCCTAATCGCATTAAGTCCTCCCCAGCCTCCCTTCTCACTCCCTAACCTTCCTCCGTCCACTGCAGCCTTCTTCCTTCCTCCCAAGCATTTCCCCTTCCCCTTCCCCCTCAGCCTTCCGCCTTCCTCCACAGCCTTCCTCCTTCCTCCACAGCCTTCCTCCTTCCTCCACAGCCTTCCTCCTTCCTCCCCAGCATTTCCTCTTCCTTTCCTAGCCTTCCGCCTTCCTCTCCAGTCTTCCTCCACCCCCAGCCTCACTTTTTCTTCCCCAACCTACTCCCGGGTCTCACGGTCGCTACAGCACACAATAATGTCTGCAAAGTTTTCCCACATCTTATGAACACAAACACTTCTTCTCTAAGCCATCCCATTTTCACACCCAACCTGCTCCTCTCTTGTTTTTGGTGTGTGCGTGTGTGTGTGCACAGGATAGTGCGATGCGTCTGTTGTGGCAGCATTAGGTTATTGTTAAGGTGTAAGCACTGATTGTTTTCTCTCACTTTCAGCTACCGCTGCTGGCTAGCTCTCGTGGTGAACAGGGAAGCAACTTAGATAAGTCTTCCCCTGCCAGTACACAGCCTCTTCACCATAAAGACTCCTCCTGTGCTTCCTCGTGGCAACACACAGTAACTGGGTGCCTCGCGGCACCACGCTAGACCAGTAAAGGATCTTAGAGCAGCAGTAGGCCTCAGAGGGACAGCACTTAGGCCTACTGGCATATGGACACGTCCTGGCCCCTACCAACTTCTGCCCCTCTGCCTTGCGGATTAACCTTGGTAGGTATAAGGCTACGGGACTAAACCCCGAACAAAAAATCTATGGTGGAGCCCTGTAATAAGCAGACATGCATACAGAGCTCCAATAAGGCCCCAGCGGCGGTATAGGCAGAAGAGGTGACCAACATGGGAACCCAACGACAATAACGGCGGATGAAGGCAATGCATGATGAACAGGCTACTAAGGCGAAACCCAACAAACTGGGCTATCGGCAGTCCATTGCAACTCTCCCTCTCCCCAGTCGTTGCAACTAATTGCACAACTGGATCAGGAAAAGGGAGACCCAAGATGTGTGGCTGCAGCCTGCGCTCATGCCTCACCACATAAATCAACTCACACGCAGCCATCATCCAGCTCATCATCATCAAAACCCCTTTACCCCAAAAGTCCTATGGCGACAGACGAGTGGCGACGGGGATACACAGATATGACTGGAGGGAGTTTCTAGCCACAACTCTGCACATGGACAGCACAGATAATATGTTGGTTTATGCACTAGGATCTAGGCAGCAGTGCAATTCGGTCCTGTCTGTGGGACTGAGCAGCCCTTACCAGGAGCCACTCTGCTCACCTCAACTAGGGAGGGGACTAGAATAGGTGCCCAAAACATAGCCTGGCTAAAGAACCAACCTGGTTGGGCAACCACACCCAGTAACGTTATCCTTATGCAGTTGAAAACACAATTATAATCACAGATAAAATTAAAAACAACCTAAACAACCTCTTTTGGTCGTTCCAAGGAATGCCAGAACCCTTCTGGGTACTGGCACAAATGAGCGTCTTGAAAAAAACCTTCCTTGTGGCAAAAGAGCTGTCTAAGTATAACATCGACATAGCAGCCATTAGTGAGTCCCGGTTCCCAGACGAGGGTCTACTCACAGAACAGGGGTCCAGCTATACCTTCTTCTGGAAGGGTAAGCCTGCTGTGGAGAGGAACCTTATTTACGGCGTTGGCTACTTAGGCGAACTGAAATGCCTGTTGGGATCAACGAGCGCCTCAAGACGCTGCAAGTCCCAATGAATCACTCACGTCATGCTTTCTTCATCAGTACAAACGCCCCAGCACTAGATGCAGAGGATGGCATCAAGGAAGGCTTTTACATTGACCTTGACAGAATGCTAACTTCTATCCCCAGAGAAGATAAGGTTGTGCTTCTTGGTGTCTTCAGTGCCAGACATATGGCAGGGAACCATAGGGAGAAACGGAGTAGGTAAGTGTAATCCCAGTGGCCTACTCCTCATCAGCAAGTGTGGTAGAACACAACCTCACTATCACCAATACCTCGTTTAGGCAGGCCGACAAGTTCAAGGGTTCTTGGTATCACCTATGATCCAACATACGGCATCTCATTGACTACATCATTATCAGAGAAAGAGACTGCCGAGATTTCCTCACCATCGAAGCCATACCTGGTTCAGACCATTGTGACACAGATCATTGGCTCCTCAGAGACAAACTCTCCCTTCAAGTCGCCCCAAAACGGCGAATGCAACAACCCTCAAGAAGAGGCTTCAACACCAAGCGACTGGAGGATCCAGTGGTAGCACATGCTTTTAGAGAGCAGCTCTACGATGGGATAATAAACTACCCAACAACAAACGACCAAAATCCCAGTGCCGAATGAGGTGCCATCAAAGCTGTCATCACTAAAATCTACAACAAGACCCTCGACCAGGTCGAAAGAAATCACCAAGATTGGTTTGATGAAAACTACCTGGAAATCGAAGTACTCGTCAATAGAAAACGTTCTGCTCTCCCTGACTGGTAGAACAACCCTAAGTCTCAGACCAAACCTCAAACCTTCCACGAAAAGAAAGCGGCGGTCCAGCGAGAATTTCGCAAACTAATGAACGAATGGCGGAAAATATAGCTTGCGAAATGCAAAAAAATTGCAGATCAACACAAGATGCATGAATTGTTCAATTCCGATAAAACATTTTATGGCCCAACTACTTATGGCGTGGCTCCCTCGGCTCATCTGACAGTTACTCCCTAAGTAAAGACGAAGAAGGCATCCGTCAGCACTGGACAGAGCACTACCATTCGCTGCTCAACTGAAACACCGATGTGGATGTCCTGACTACCCAGCAGGTTCCTCAGCACCCAGAGCTCACCCATCTCAGCTGTCCTCCATCCCTGCATGAGGTAGCTCCTGCCATTAAGCAGATGAAAATCAACAAAGCCACAGGGCCTGATGGAAACCCAGCCGAGGTGTATAAAGCAGGAGGACCTCTGCTTACCAGCCATGTTCACTCTCTCCTAAATATATGGGAGAAGGAGGAGAGACCAGTCAGACTGTGACAACTACAGTAAGATCTTGCTGCTGTCCATAACTGGCAAGATGATCGCCAGAGTCTTAATAAACAGACTTCTTCCTGAGACGGAAAGCTTCCTCCCAGAATCTCAATATAGCTTTAGGCCATCACATAGCACCACCGACATGATCTTTTTTCTGCCCACCAGACATAGGAAAAGTGCAGAGAACAGTGTCCTGATTTGTACATGGCCTTCATTGACCTCAACTAGGCCAACAGGGAAGTCCTTTGGCGGCTCCCCCACCCCCCCCAGTCGATTTGGTTGCCCATCAAAATTCATTGACATTGTGAGTAATTGAACCCGTGCTCGTGTGGGCAAATCCCATAAAAAAAAAATGATGATGGTATGAACGGGAGTGTCCTACACAATGGCACCCAGTCTGAGTTCTTCCCCATCCAAACGGGGGTTAAATAAGGATGTGTACTGGCACTAACCCTTCCATTTTTTTTGGCTGCCTTCCTTACTCATGCCAGTGCCAATTTATCCGGCGGAGTGGATATCCAGTACCGTAGGAAGGGATTTTTCTACAGAAGACGACTCCAAGCAGAAACAAAGGTGTCGGCAGCTTCCATTACTGAACTACAGCATGCAGACGACTTCACTCTCGTCGCTCACACTGAATGCGACCTACAGCAGATCCTGAACACCTACACAGATACGTATATACACTTCGACTTTGAAGTGAATGCACATAAGACTTGTATTCTCTTTCAGCCTGCCTCTGTTCAACCACACCTACACAATCCATCCAGGTTAGCAGTACTACTCTCTCTAATGTTACCCACTTCCAGTACCTTAGCTCCCACTTGTCTCCCACCACGAACATCGATGAAGATATTCAGCATCGGATCAGATGTGCATCTCAAGATGAAATTATCTACAAAGTTGCACGTGTACCGAGAAGTGCTCCTCCCCACCCTGCTGTATGGTAGCGAGACATGGGCCACATACAGGAGACACCTCATTGCACTTGAAACTTTCACCAACGTAGTCTACGTTCCATCCTCCGAGTTCGCTGGGAAGACAAGAGAATAAATGCCAGTATTCTTGCTGATGCCAACCGTAGGACCATCGAGGCTACCATGATCCATGAACAACTACGTTGAATTGACCATTTTACCCGCATGGACGACAGTAGACTGCCAAAGAGCAGCCACTTTACAATCACCTAACAAATGGCAAACGTAACGATGGCGGACAACGGAAAAGGGTTAAAGATAGTCTTAAGACAAACCTGAAAAATTACTAAATCGACCCCCTCACTTGGGATATGATCACTCCACACCGTAAGGCTTGGAGGAGCACAACGTGAGAAGGTGGCAATACTTTATATTTAGCCCGACTGCACACATAGGCAAACAAGTGCCAGTGTTAGAAAGACGCTACCGCCGCTCCTCATGCACTAGATGTAGCCCTCCACACGTGCAACATCTGTGGACGGCCCTTCCGATCCCGTATCGTCCTCTCGAGTCATCCTCAGAGCTCACCAACGAAGGCGATATCCTTAATAACTCATATCAATGTATCATAGCTGGATGATCGTCATACTCGATTCTGAGTGACAGCAAAGTAGTAGTAGTAGTAGTAATGTGGGTGTGTGTACTCGCTTCAAAAAGTATCTATAGGGAGGGTTCCGATGAATTTCAAAATGAACTCCGCAACTCCTGTTGTCTTTGTAGGGTTATAAAAGACACTTGTCTGTTGTATCATATTGTCTAACATAAAATCGTAAAGATTCTTTTTAGAGCAAGTGTACAAGCATGTGCATAATTGTACATAAATTAACAAATCAATGGTCTTATTCTAGCAAACTGTATGTTAAATAATGTCTAAAGTTCTCCAGCAGAAGGTCGCGACCCGAATACACAATAGCCATCCTTCCTCTACATTATTATATTGACGTATTAAAAAAGGCTTATTGAGTTCCCGAAGGTTTCAATGAGTTTGGAGTCCAGATGAATCAAGTGCTTTAAGAACACTGTTGGAGTTCATGAAGAGTAACCTATCTAGTTTATTTCATTTGATGAGTCAACACGTTGATGCTACTTGGGGGGTTTTGTTAGATTTTGTTATGTTTAGTTAGGTTAGGTCAGATTAAGATAATTTAGGTCAGGTTAGGTTTGGTTATGTTAGGTTAGGTTAGGGTTAAGTTATATTAGATTTGGTTAGGTCATATTAAGTCAAATTAGGTAAGTTAGATTAATTTACGTTAGGTTAAGTTAGTTTAGGTTAACGTTATCTTGGTTAATCGTAAGGTGACATAAGATGGAGAGGGGAGCTAATCTTGACATAATACACATTATCTCCCCAGAATCCAAGAGTCTCTCAACTTACTTCATCCTCTCCTACCTCACTCAGTCCTTCCCATCCTTCATCTTTCCACCCTAACCTACTTCATCCTCCGTAACTTCTTCCTCAGCATTTTTACTACCCTAACTTCTTCTCTCCATCCTTAACTGTACGCATTCCTCCCCAGCCTTCTTCCTCCTTCCCCAAATTTCCTCCTTCCTCCCCAGCCTTTCCCCTTACTCCTTCCTCCTAATCCTTCCTCCCTAAGCTTACTTCGTCCTCCCCAACCTCACAGCCTAACCTTGATCAAGAGCCGCTATAGTCTGACTCCTCCAGGACACAGTAAAGCCAGATACACTACCTGCTTTAGTTGTGCTGGAGTAAAAATAAATTGCTGTCAGGTTCTGAGCACATTTGTAAATCCACCTCAAATCTTACTCATCCTCAAAGAGGCCAACACCGTGACAGCTATTGGGTCTGAACTGCCGAGCAACACGTTATAGTAACCTGACCAAACATAACCTAAAATAAAATAACCTAACCTAACCTAACCTAATCTAACCTAACCTAATCTAACCTAATCTAATACAACCTAATAACAAATCGAATCTAACCAAACATAACCTAAGCTGACTTAACCTAATTTAACTTAAGCCTACCCTAACCTAACCACACCAAACCTAACCTAACATAATCTAATCTAGCCTAATATAACATAACTAAACTAACTTAACCCCCCACCCCACCCGTAGCATTAGGGCGTTTAATCATCAGGTGAATAAGCTGGGGTGACTAATCTTCAGGTGATCCATTTACCGTGTGTGTGTGTGTGTGTGTGTGTGTGTGTGTGTGTGTGTGTGTGTGTGTGTGTGTGTTTCTTATGTATTTCCACAGTTTTGAAGACAGAGTTGAAATTTTGTGGAGAGGTGTGAGTGGCAAGGGGGATGGTCGTGCACTGTATCCAGTCTCTCTCCACCCGGGCCAAAGCCGCATAATTTGGCAAGTCCTTTCTATCAAAGATTCTACAGTACTCAGCCAAGTGTTATCATTAAAGAACCAAATCAGTGAACTCATGGGGTAAAACTGCCTGTGATTTACCTTGTTTCTTGGTAAAACTAGCCTAGAGTAAAGGAGTGAAGGGGTACATAATGCGCCATCCACTAAGATACGTTCACGGTTCTCGCTAAGTCCCTGTACTGATCCTGGGTGAAGGTTGTTGGGAAGAGGTTGAGGAGAGTGTGGAAGGCGGCGGCTCACAGCTTCCATTACCTCGTCTCTCTGTATCACGTAAAGTTGCCCCAAAAGAATGCCCTAATTTTATCAATGCTTTTTTATAGCTGGTTTGTTGATGTAAGACCTCTCTCTCTCTCTCTCTCTCTCTCTCTCTCTCTCTCTCTCTCTCTCTCTCTCTCTCTCTCTCTCTCTCTCTCTCCTTCGCCCTCCGTCCTTACCAACTCTCCTTCCGTCCTCACAACTCACACACCCTCGCCTTCCGTTACTCACTAACTCCACCCCTCGCCCCCCGTCACTCACCAACTCACACCCCTCGCTCCCCGTCACTCAACTCACACCCTCTGCTCACCAACTCACACCCCCTCGCCTTCCGTTGCTCACCCAACTCACACCCTCGCCCCCGTCACTCACCAACTCACACCCCTCGCCCCCCGTCACTCACCAGCTCACCCCTCGCCCCCCGTCACTCACCAACTCCACACCCTCGCTCCCGTCACTCACCAACTCACACCCTCGCCCCATCACTCACCAAATCCACACCCTCGCCCCCCGTCACTCACCAACTCACACCCTCGCCCCGTCACTCACCAACTCACACCTCGCTCCCCGTCACTCACCAACTCACACCCCTCGCCCCCGTCCTCACAAATCACCCCTTCCTCACTCTCACCCCCCTCACCCAACCTCCTTCCTCTCTCCCCTCCTTTTCCCTTCCTCCCTCCCTCAATCACTTATCTTTCACCTTCTCCCTCCTCCCTCCTTCCCTCCTTCCCTCTCCTTCTCCCTCCTTCATATCTCCCCTCACTATCTCCTCCCCTTCCTATCTCCTTCCTTCACTCTCCATCCCACCTCACCCTCCCTCACTCACCAACTCACCCTCCCTTACTCACTCATCTTACACTCCTTTTCCCTCCCTTCCCCAATCACCCTTCCTCCTCATTCTTCCTCTCCCTTACCCACCTCCCTCCCCTCACTCTCCAACTCTCCTTACCCACCCTCCTCCTCCTCCCACCAACTCTCCCTTACCCACCCTCCCTCCCTCACTACCAACTCTCCCTCACTCACCCTGGTTGTAGTGATCTGGCCGTGTTGGTTGGAGGCGTGTATAGCGAAGCTGCCGAAGTCATTGATGAGGGAGTACTTGATGACACCTTCTGGGCCTGAGTCCTGGTCGATCGCACGCACCTGTACAGGAGAGAACACAACTCTAATTATGGGGAGAGAATCAAAACACTTTCTCCCTCATATTCCGTATCCTTTCCTTCTTCTCCCCCCTTCTGTTAATCCTCCCTCCTTCTCTATCCCTTCCGTCATACCTTCCCTCCTTCCTCCCTCCCTTCTTCTTCCTCCTTCCGTCGTATCCTTCCTCTTTCCTTTTCTCTCCTTCCGAAATACCCTCCATCCTTCCCCCTTCCTTCTCTCTCCCTCTGAAATACCCTTCATCCTTCCTCCTTTCTTCTCCTCCCGTCCGTAATATCCTCGACCCTATCCTTTTTTCTTCTTTTCCAATCTCTGTCCCTCTTTCCTTTTCTCCTCCCTCTTTCTCACTGTCTCTACCCTTTCCACACCTTCTCTCAGCTTCCCCTCTCTATCCGTCTTCCTCCACTGCACTCCTCTCACTGTCCTTCCTACTTCTACCCCTACGTCACCTACCACTAGTACAAGCGTCATCTACCAGCAGTAATGGTGTATTAACCGTCACCTACGTCACGCACCAGAAGTACAGGTGTATTAACCGTCACCTACGTCACCTTACCAGAAGTACGGATGTATTAACCGTCACCTACCAGCAGCACAGGTGTTCCGGCCGTCACATTCTCGTTCACACGTATGCCGTCATAAGCGTTACACTCCGGAAACATCGGCTTATGTACGTTGTCGTCTGTAACACAAGAGAAGATAATGATGAAGAGAAGTATTATAGATCACGAGGTGGCATATGGAGCCTTAAGTCTATCATATACTTTAAGACTGTTACACTCACTTAAGCCAAGCTACTTAAGTCAATCATATACTTTGCCACTGTTACACTCACTTAAGGCAAGCTACTTAAGTCAATCATATACTTTGAGACTGTTACACTCACTTAAGCCAAGCTACTTAAGTCAATCATATACTTTGCCACTGTTACACTCACTTAAGCCAAGCTACTTGAGTCAATCATATACTTTGCCACTGTTACACTCACTTAAGCCAAGCTACTTAAGTCTACCATATTACTTTAAGACTGAAGCCTAACAACATAAGAATGAAGGCATCTGCAGCGGGCCCATTAGCCCATAATGGACAGGTAGTAAGCAGTAGGCAGTTATCAAACAGGGAGGTATGACCACCTGGGAAGATATTGGAAGCATAATATATTGTCTAATGGTAGACCCTGCTGCCATATGGCATCACAAAAATTGTGACCGAGTCCCAGGTTGCTGATCTGACTTTCTGCCTCATTTACGCACAATTTCGGGGTTTCAATTGATTCTCTTACCTTGTCAACATAACATACATACCCTGTATATCGTTTCTCACCATGGATCTTTTTTTTTTTTTGCTTTTATTTATTATTATTATTATTATATTTTCGTCCCCAGGCTCTGATGTGTCTCCTTGACCTGTTCACTGGTGAACTAATCCGGTAAAAAAATAAAAAGTCCCGTTTACACCCAACTCCTATTGCCCATACATCCGTCCAACTTATATTTGAAGCTACCCAGCGTGTTCGGGCTAATGATGATGTTCACAACTTTATTTCCAAACTAGTGTTTACCTATCTCGCGCCTAAATCAAATTTTGTCTAATTTAAAACTATTGCTGCGAGTTTGCTCCCGGTTGGATAGTTTGAGTACCTTTGTTATATCACCTTTGTTTAACCATGACTTCCATTTATACACCTCGATCATATCGCCTCTCACTCTACGTCTCTCGAGGGAGTGCAAATTAAGATGCTTTAATCTGTCTCTATAAGCAAGATTCCCAATGCCTGGGATTAGTCTTGTGTTATGGGAGACACAGTACATGTCTAGGGGTTATGATAATAGGGTGTGTCATACGGAGGCGAATTTTTTTTTTTGAGTTTGAAAAATCGGCCCATGGTATTAATGATGTAGTTCTATGTGCAGAATCATGTGATATCTTCAGATTTGAAAAGTTTTCATTTTTTGCTAGGTAAATTTTAACTTGAAATCTTATGAAAATTCAGTATTCCCACCCTTTTACCAACACCACTAAATAGCTTATTTAAAGTAAAGTAAATGTATCAGGTTAATTTATTAGGATGAAAATGATCCAGAATAGTGAAACGAATGATCTTGACACATTTATTAAATTTAATATTCCTTTAGAAAACAAAATCATCAAATACAAAAACCGGTTTTACTACTACGACCCGGTGTTGCTGCACACCATAGAGAACATGTCTTTCTTGCTTCTGTTTCTACTCATCACCTCCCTGCTGACCACCTGAGCTCGGATGTAGCCTTCCCTCCTCTCCTGGCTGTACACGTGACTGCTGGCCTCGCTCACTTGCTGTACACAACGCTCTATACTCTGGGTGTGCGAGGGCCAGGCAGGGACATGCATGGGTTGTCAGAAAGCTCTGACTTGAACATTGGTGAGGCTGCAGGTAAGAGGGGGCTCACTGTGCCTGGATGTTATCCAGATCTATGAGATCAGTGGGGTCTTGGCACCTAGATTGACTTCAGGAGTCTTCCTGACCCTGAAGGAATCGTCTCACCAACTGATTCGTCATGCCCAGATCCTCTCATAAGTCTCATATCCAAGATCTTTTTGACTGCACTCTTCTTCCTCATCCTTACTGCAGAGCATTGTCTGCAGAACTGCCTCGGGATGATTGACATTGATCTGAGGATTGACTTGACCTTTGGTGTTGAAACCAATTTGGCAAGTAGACACTCACGATGAATTGGACAATGTCTCAGGTTGTGAAGCTGGTTCCCTTTCAGTTTATGATGAAAGGACCCAAATTCTGCAGAACCTGAGAGCCGTTGTGAGCCGCCCAGAATGTGAGACTGGACCCATCTGCAGGTAAGGCAAGTCTATCAGGCATGACCCCAGTTTTGATGGCACTGTAAATCATGTAACCATATAGTACTGGTCAGTACTCAGGTCGTCAATGACAGTAAGGCAAGCTCAACGAGTGGAGGGCCAACTGTGATTTTTCTTTCAAAGCTCGGATTTATTTCTAACTCAGTGGTGTCCAGCATCTGCCAAGAGTGACCGACCATCTGTTGCTTGAAAGAGTCTTGCCATCCAGCCTCTGGATCAGATGTCTGAGTGGCAACTCGTTGCGTGGGAGGTCACAAACAATCCAGACCAGCTTCCTCCCAATCTTCCGCTCTATCCACTGTATGACCCCCTCTTGCCACCCTGTGTTCGTGTTGGTGCTGTCCCCTCCAATGGCCTGCAGGGTCTGGTCTACGTTCCTCTCTCTGAGCCAGTTCACAATGTTATCTGCCACTATCTCAGCTGGTTTCCTGATGTCATCTTTCTCTGGAGTGAAATGCCACAAATACTTTCCTCCTGGTTCACTGCAGCAGGAGTAGTGTTCCTCCTTCACCATGGCAGGGAACAACTTGTCAGAATCTCCAACTTTCATGAACACTTTAGTGTCATCCCTTCTCCCATCAAAGAACAAACAATTGATTCCATTTTCTCTTATCCCCCTTATCAAACTCCTCTTCTAGGTTACTGACAAGTTTCTCCTGAGCTCTCCTTACTTTGTTATGATCTATCACCAGGTGCACATCATCAGGTGTTATCAAACCACCGTCAACCCAGGCAGCTGTTGCTATCTCTGCAGTTTCTCTGAGACCAGTGTGGTGTCGCATGCTGGCCAGAGCTATGCTCGGGATATCTTTCCTATTTCGAATCTTTTGCCTGGAAAGTTTGGGATTATTATTTTCTGGGTTAGGGACAAAGTCACCATTCTCCTGGTCAGCACTCGGATCAGCCATGGGGAAGTCATTAAACTCTGAATCAGCTTGACTCCAATCATCGGCCTTTTTTACCTCACCCTGGGCCTTCTCAAGTCTCTTTTCCTCAGCAACTCTTCTCCTCTTCTGTCTCTCTGTGGCAGCCTCCTGTCTCTTGGAGTCCGGAATATCTTGGCTAGAAATCATGAGAGCCCCTATACTGCCAGTCTTCTCTCTCTGTGCTTTGACAAATGCCAGTTCGATCACAGGAATCTTCAGTTCACGCTTGCAAATACAGGAGATGTGGGCCCTGATTTACAGTCACGATCGCATCCAAACTCAGGACAGAGAACAATTGGGCACTTGCAAGTAATTATGTCAAATAACTGGTCCAGTTGCTTGGCAAAGCTGTCCTTAACTGCAAGTTTTCCTCTCCCAAGAGAGATATCTCTTGCCTTTTCCCAACTGGCTAGCAGTCTCTCACTAATCTTCTTCTGACTTGTTATGACTGGAGGTTTGAACTGAGCATTAGCCAGAGTGTACTGTGCCAAGACAGCTTTGGTCATATCACTGGCAATGTCTTTGTTTGTGTAAGTTCTTTGGTTCTTTTCACTGATTTGCCTGATTAAAACACCGTATCTCAAAGCATCTCTGAATGTAGGCAACTCCGACTTCAGGAGCTCTCTCCCAGACCCAAGATAGTGACTGAGATGGCTGGATTTTTGGTTCCTCGTCCTGACACAAGCAGCCATCGCAAATATTATCAACTTATAAATGCATCAGAATCTGAAACAGAAAAAATATTGTTAGTTGGGTTGTTAAAGAATGAAGTCAGAAAGCAATGTTCACTATTTAATTGTAATGCACTAATGCAGCTGTACGTTAGATTTTCGATAAATTTCACGCTAAAATTTACCTAGCAAAAGGTTGCAAAATATTGAAACTGAAATTATTTTCTGTTTATATACATTAAAATCTACCAAAAAAGTGATGGGCCATTAGTTTTAGCTGATCTTCCCTCCTATGACACACCCTATTATGATAATGTTCCACAACATGAAAACACAAGGGGAGATAAACGGGGAAGGCATATTCATAATACACAAGAAACTACTATGATATATTAAGTAGTAAACATATTTACACTATACACACAGTAAGGTGAAAATGAAAATACATCAACCACAACTGAGAAATAACACCAGGGACAAAAAGACAAGAACCTCTAATCCTACAATTAGCACATGGAATAAGTGTTACCTACCACAATATACATTATAATTATAATCCTAATCCGTATACACAAAGTAAACTTAGCTGTGAGGTGACCACTCAGTAGCTCAAACACAAAACTCTCAGACACGTGATACGCGTACACAGAGCACGCCACAGACGGTCAGGACAACTGCACGTCAGTAAACCAGCGAGTGAGTGACTCACAGCTACCTGTAGGCCTACCAACAAACCTCACAGAGTTGCCAGGTTGTTTATTACACACTACAAGGATGTAGTAAATATTGACACAAATAATACAAAATTTGCATTACAACAATGTACTATATAACCTACAACAATACATATCACAACCAAACATAATAGAAACATAACATTACACATGTAAGATGAAAAAGAATAAACAAACTTATAATGAATATCTCGTTCCTTGAACGAGCTGACTACCTAGTTCCCATCACACTTGTCATCCTCCTCCTTATGCTTTCTAGGGATTCGATGTCCATTCTGTAATATAAGTACGGTGACCAAAACGGAACCGCATAACTCAAGTGAGGTCTCACAAGTGCAAGATATAGTTTTAGGATAACCTCTCTAGTCTTGTAACTAACACTCCTTTCTATGAACCCAAGTACCTTGTTAGCCTTGTTTCGAGGAAATACGCATTGTTGGATCGTTGTGTCTTGGGGGAAGAGGAGGGGAGTGTGGGGAAAGACGACCTCCT